AAAGAGTTAATTTTTATTAGATTATGGGACAAATATTAAAGCTACAAATAACAAGAAAACTTATTAATAATAAATAAATATTGGATTTGTTATCAGTAAAATACTTTATTTAATTTTGTATTAGTTTACATTGATCAAGAAAGAAATTTTTGATAGAGTATAGTAGTTTTGGAGAAGATAAATAACGAAAATAAGCTCTCATAAATTTTATAAATATCTAATTTTCCCAAGTATGTTATCTTGCTTGAGGTTCGTTTACCTGAAGAACGGCTGATCGAATATTGATTCGAAATCCCTTTTTCGATACTTCCTAACATAAGTTATAGCCGATTGAATTTTGAGCTGAATTAGTCAAGTCATTCTTGAATTATTTGAAGATAATTTATAGCATAAACTCCAACAAAAAATTTTATATCTCTCGAGAAAATTGTTTGTCTATTTATTGATAAAATGTATATTCAAAAAGGCAATAAAGAGTATGAAATATGAAACGAAATTCCAGTAATGTCAGTACACTAATTAAATACTGTAAAATAAATATATATATATTGATTGACAAACAACTGAATTTATTGTTAGTAACGTTTTTCCAAATTGATTTAATAAACGTCTTAATTACTTTCTAATTCTTCTTCGAGTTATTATTCCTATTTATTTTACAATATTTATTTTATAAAAAATTAGCCAAAATATTTTTAATCATGTTTGTACATCAGAAACTCAATGAATCGTATTTTTAAACTTGCTCGAGATCAAAACAACTGTAAGTAAATTAGTCGATAAACAAGAATTATTTTGCTACTGCAGTATGTCCAATCAAATTGGATCAATACTTGGTGAAACTGCATTTCTTTGTAGTACAAAATATTCTCGAATTTTTGTTTCCGATTTACTTGCCAGCAAAGTCTTTTTCTTCAAAGCAACCTAGTCTCCCCTTTATACGCGAAGTAAACAAGAAAGTTTGCGCACATCAAACAGCTTTTCGTCTTTGATTTTTCCCGGTAGAATTATTCGTTGAGATGTATTATGTAGTATATTGAAATCGTTTATGCTCTTATTTCCTACTTTTTCTTGTGTTACCAGTCTTTGTGTATGCATTTTGTTTTGAGATGCAAATGGTAAACAAATTTAGTGTCAATGAAAATAAATGATGTTGCAATATGAAATAATCGATCGATTGATTATTTTTTTCTTTTTACACACACACTTTATTGTGTGATAAATTTTAATCAGAAAATTCATCAATGTCAGTGTGAAGAAAATTTCAATTATTTTGTTTTAAATTATTTTTTATCAAACAATCTATTTTTATAAAATCACAGGGTAACATATATTTCCAGAAGAATTTTTCGAATAAGTTTGTGATTGACATGCAGGGTTTCTAGAGATTGAAATTGGATAAATGTATTTATTCCTGACCTACTATCTATCAACTTCAATGTCATGAATTTGTCAATTTATTGAAAACATCAAATTTTATTCCATATTTTTTTTTATTACATATTTTATAAATATATAGAGCAACCACACAAGATCTCCAATCCATCAATTATAAATGAACCTATCTTATAATTAATTAAAATTCTATATCTTAATTAAGATAATACTTTTTCTCACACTTATTCACCTAAAAAAATGTTGGCTAATTATCAGACTTTAATCAACCATAAATAACTTATTAACAAATGGGCCACAAGAAGAATTAAAAATGTCAATAACATTCACAAACAATTGACATTCATGAAAATGCAATATTTTTAAATTGATAAAGGCCATTCATAAGAGAGCATTCGAGCAATGGAGTTGATTCTAACGAAACATATTTGTAGTTTGAATGTCGAAAACACGAGTGGTAAACATTTCCTCAAGGCATTATCTCGAACAATTGAAAAAAAAAATAATTTTTTTATTTATTTGTCAAATTTAATTAAAAAGCAGGAAGAAAAGCTGACGTGCATATCCTTGATTTTCGTGGCATCTAACAATCTGTCTCTCATTAATTTCCTTTTACTCTTAAACCTCTTTTCTTTGTTTTCCCCTCTCTGACTCTCCTCCTATCTATGCTCTTGTCTTTCGTCTACTTCCTCCTCTCAGTAATGCGTCGCACTCAATTAACCTGAGTGATATGAAATTGACCTGAAGCAGCCCGGATCACTGTCGGCTCCCTTTGCTATTAAATTAGGCAACATCTCTTTATATCTTAAAATGAGATTATCAGATGGATAACACTACTCTCAAATTATAATTGTTAAAGTTATGAATAGATGATGAATAATGAATTTGATGTAAAGTAGAGGTTGGGAAGCATTCAAATATTTTTCAAATTAAAAATTAAGAATTATTAAATTTCTCCTTCCTCGAAAATTTATCTAGAGTAATTAAATGTTAGACAACTCAAATAGAAAAGTTACTCTTCAATCATAGTTCTGTACAAGCTCCGGAGTCTCGTCGTTTTCAACTGTGTAATTATTTCCCTTCAGCAATGTTACTGACAATCAGTTGAATGTTGCAAACAATCATTTTGACCTCTTGAAAATTTAGTTTATTTTTATACCTTTCAACTATTTTCATTTTCGTACTTTATTTTTAGTAAAAATGGAAATATTGATTCATACTCCAATCAAAGTATGGGCTTTCATTCGTCCTGTTGATACATCATTTATATAGACTCAAATAATTCTAGGGAATTTTTTTGTTTAATTGATTTCTTTTTTTTTCCCCATGAAACAAATCGTCTACAGAAGAAGCATTTGGATATACAGTCAATTAAAAAAAATAACTCCATAATTTTTTGACTTTTTCTCCTAGTTTTTTTTGTTTGCAATTTTTTTGCTTTCAACAAAGAAAATCCCTGCTTTGAAAAAAACATTTTGATTATTGAAATTTGTCAAAAGATTTACGCAATTTTAACTTCAAACATAGCTCATGAAATTTTTCCTACCATCATTGAGACAAAAATTTTTTTTAATCATACCTATTTTTAGAGGTGTGGCGAGCTGGTGAAATTTTTTACAATAATACTTTTCATCGCTGGTGACAATCGACTGAGTGAAATGTAAAAATTTTTTATAAATATCTGCATGGGTTGGTATACCTTTAATTTTCTTTACCAGCATGAAATATTTTAAATAACACAGCTATCATTCCTTTTTTTTCTACATATTCCAGGAATTTAGTAATAGAATTGATGGTACGATTTTTTTTTATAAAGAAATTCCAGTTTAATTGTTCTATCATTTGAATTCGTGTTTACCCCTCCATTGAAAGATTATTTTAATGGAGTCAATTTTTATTCATCCAAAATTTATTTTTTTTTTTTTTTGAAAGTCACCTAATTATAGGTTAAATAGAATAGATCTTTCAGGTCACACCCATACCACTCGTATGAATGAATTCATAAAAAAATGTTCATGTAGATACTCTGAATCTCTCTCACCCCTCGTGTTTCTTTTAATCAGAGAAATATCAATCGAGTTTTCATATGCAATGTCACGAGGGAAATGTGATGAGGAATGTAAGTTCAGGGAATTGCACTTTTGCGTGTGAGTTCTGGCGTGTATGTTACGCAGTCGTGAGATATTATGTCGAGATAATAATTCACCTATTCTATCATACAGATTGGGGTGGGGAAAAAAAAGATAGTAAAAAAAAACAACAAGAAAAATGCCGCTATAAAGTACAATAAAAATAAAAATAAGGTGTAGTTTTAAATTTTTAATAAAATTGGGTATTCTAGATACTAAAATCTACACCAAAGTGGCTTTGTTTGATATTCCGATCACGTAGCATGTTTGCTTTTAAAGCTGGAATCTCTTGCTTTTTGGATTTGAAAGAACACTAGTGTGCTATCAACAAGACTCTTTAATATAAAAAAAGAATTTTAAGGAAACTCTAAAGTCTCCTGGTAAAAGGGGTGTCGTTCTCATCATTTTTTAAGCAAGAAAAAACCAGAGATAACTTACTGAAAAGCTTCAAAATAAAAGTGTAGTTGAGTAATTGTTATTTTTTAAGGACCCATAACACAGAAGCTTATTAAGCAGCAAGATTTTTATTCAAGTTTGCAAGTAATATGTAATCATTTTCTTCATCTACACTTCTCTAGATGAGAATTAAAAAAAGAATAAATACGTCATTGTCAATTGAGAATTTTTTAATTATTCTAAAAAAAATTTAATTAAAATAAAAATTATCCATGAATGGAAATAAATAAACAATGAATTCTTAAAATTCTTTAGAAGTAAATGGTTGGTGAGAATGTATTGTCGTAAGAAAAACAATTTTCCTCGTTGTAAAAAAAAAAAAATTGTAATTAGATTGTTTAATTTACAAATCATGGTTTACTTGTTCTTTATTATTAGTAAGTGGTAATTAAATTTAAAATGAAGCAATTAAAGTTTTAGAATGAGTAACAAAGTATTTTTTTTATGAGTGCATATTTTTTTACGTTCAAGTATAATAGAATAAACATTTACGATTTGATAAAATAAAAAAAAAAAAAATTTTGAATAATAACTAGCATTAAATAAATGTTTTGCTGGATTATTTCATGTAATTTATTTCCCTTAGCATTTTTTGTACTTGATAATAAAATTATAGGCCGTCATAATTAGTTTAATAAAAAACTAATCATTTTTTTTTTAGAACGAATAAAAAAGATTCAAAGTTGAATAATTCAGTGATTGTAGTACAAATAATCCTACAAAATTTATCATTCATTACAACATGTTTGTTTCAAAAAAAAAAAAAAAGAAAGCTCTAGTTAATCTAGATATTGCATTTCATAATTTATCCATCCACTTTTAAAAAAAGTATGGAAGTAGAACGATCGAAGTTTCATCGATTAAAAATTAAATACAGTTACAGTAATTTATCAAATACATCACTCTAAACATCAAAATAAATCCAAACAAATTATTCTCATACACTTCTCACATATTTTCAAACTAACAGACAGATAATAAATAACAAGACACAATTGGACAACAACAAACAAAACTTACCTAAAATCAATGCATTAACGAAGTAAAACTTCACCCACATGTGTATAATTTTCAAGAGATCCGTAGTCACATGATGCACAACCCAACAGATAAAATAGTTTTAGCAGAAATGATGTTTCAATTCACGTAAAAAGTATTGAAGAATCACAGAGAAAGATGTTTATTAAAAAAATAATAAAGTCCCTAGATGAAACTAATGATAAACAATCAAATTCACTGTTGTTAATTGATAATATACTAGTTATAATTAAGACAGATATTTGAATTCATAGTTAAATTGGAGATTGAGTATACTAGTAGGTAGTAAGGATGATACCACAACGCGCGCCCACGCTAGACTGGCACTCATTCGGCCGGCTGACTCGTACCTGACTCTCCCTACTGCGAGGTGGATCGTACACGGCCATCGACGCCCGCTCACTCCCTTTTGCCTAACCTTATACCTACATACTCTACTACATTCACCCCTTCGACTCTATAGTATTGCTTTGTCACCCCTTTCGTGTCTTAATATAACTACTTCTCCTTATATTATCCCATTCACTCTCTTTCAATCATCTTCTGTACAACTTTTTACGTTATAACACCTTTTCATTATTCGTTCGGTCATAAATTTCTTTGCTAATTAAACCAAATACAAAACAAGACGCTCCTTTTTATTGATATTAATTAGCTATATGGGTTCATTATTTATTTTTAATTGAATTTAATTATGAAATTACTTGAGATAAATTATTCCTTTGAATACAATTATTCAGATAAATATTTTTTTTTTATCGGGATAAAAGTGATTATCCTATAAAAAGTAACATTTCGTTTCACTTTTCTGACTACATAAAGGCTACTCCGAAAGTAACATGACGTAAAATCCTTCTGAAGGGTAATCACTCTCATATTTCATTCATAAAAATAAAAAAAATTTATTACTGAAGAATTTTATAGCCTTCTATTGTCGATTTTTATAATAATAAATATTTTTCCAATATAAAAATATGTTTTAATTGTGTTATAATATTTTTATGATTACTTTTCATCGTGAAAAAATGTTTTGTTTTATAAATATTTTAATTCAACATTTTTTTTTCTACCGGCGTTCAAATAAAAATGAGGATCTCCATTTATTAATATATATAAACTAATATTTATTATTGCTTTTAATAATTTCTTTACAACAATGAATTCTATAATGAATTAAAAAAAATAATGCTTTATTAATAATAGAAAAATCAATTATTCTCTTTATTTATTTAACTTGATGGCATAATTTAAAAATATTTTATAAAATTAAAATTTCGAATAATTGCAATGAAATATTTTCGTGATAATTGATCTGGTAATATTTGGATAAATTCACTTTTGATTTTTAACTGGAAATATTTCATATTTCTATTGATTTAATTAAATAATTTTTCCTCCGCATTTTCCATTTTAAAGAACTAATTGAATAACAGATAAAATTCGTGTTTAATAAAAAAAAAAAAGAAGCAAAATTTAAATAAACAAATGATTAATTAATTTAAGACATAATGAAACTTCCTAAACTACAATAGGCAATTCTAAACTCGTTTGCTATAATTTGTAAAATCGTTACTTTTCGGATTGATCTTTCTAAATGGATTTAATCGAATTGAATGAACGTCGCGAACGAGTGTTAAACGATTTTATAAAATCAAACGTTTGTTCACTTCCCTCAGTAAATCATTCGGTTGTCGCAGTGTTTGCCTCACAATTTTGTTCACATTGTTCTATACACTTTTTATCTCTTTTTTCTAATTTTATTCCTTTTATTTTCTACCACGATCGTTCGTGAGAGCAGACTGAGTAAACGATTGAACGAATACAAAATGGTATATGCTCGTAGGCATTTGAAGTATCTTAAATAATAATATGTGAAAACACAAAAGCATCAAGTTGCGTCATTATTATAGTGTATATTCAACACCCCAAGAGACAGAAACTTCTTCCATTTTGTAAGAGGATCAAATTACGTTCAAACTACTCCAAGCGTCAACATTCCCATTTATAAGTTATAAATTTGTGAGTTTCACCCTATATACTAGATTTTTAGACTAAATTTTTGTGATGAGAGAAAAGATTTTTATTATAATTAAATCCTTATTAGTATTTTTTGAAGACTATTGAAATTTTTTCGACTTTTAACTTATATGGGTCAAGTTTTACATGAATTTAGATAGAATGTAATAAAACTAAATTCATGTATGCATAATAAAGAGGCAGATATATTACAAGACAAACTTTCTCTTTAAAAGGGCAAAAACTCTTTCATGTTGGTATATTAAAATTTTATAATAAAATTTTTTTAATTATTAACAATTTGTAACTCATTGGAGTTTTATATTAAGAAATTTTTTTTGTTATTCTTTTTTATGACAATTATTTTATTGTATAATAATTGAAGATACTTTTATTAGGAGTTAAACCTTACATTGTTGATACTTTTAATTATTTTTGTATTAAGAAAGAAAAATGTTAATGATAGAAATTATTTTTGAGGCATCAGTAATCCTACGGAAAAAATACTTTTAATTGTCATTTATTTCTAAATATATTTATGTTGATCATAACTTTTTATTGGGACATTAACAAGGTGTAAAATTTTGTTTATCAGGATTCTGGTATTGTCATGGCTTTGAAATGATTTAATTAATAACTCGGATGAAATATCAACTTCATAGAGGGGAGATCGATTGTTAGTCAGTTTCTGACAGTTTGTATCAAAGCATTGCTTAAGAAGAATTTTATAAAATAAACCATATGTAAAGATTTCGTTCCCCAAAGGTTCTCCGATTTTGCGCTTGTGGGACTATGGGAAGGAAATTTTTTTTTTTCGAAAACGGTAAGACATAAACATGTGCATAACTTCTATGATAATGGTGGCATGGGGTTGATTGAGGACTTAAATGGAAGATCTGGACGAGAGGAAAAAAGCCAATATGGTGGAAATCATAATTGTCGCGAAATTCATGCAAAAATTAGAGCAAGTTCCGGTTTTACCCCATTTTAGGAGTGAAATAATGGATTTTTTATATGTTTGACCCGATTCCGCATTTCTACGCTTCGAGACGAAGAGAATGAGTGGTCGATCATCAAAATCGGACAACTTTAATTTTTCGACCCAAAAAAATGGCAAGTGGTACCCCTTTCCATTTTTTTCGGCCAAAAAATATAAGTACTCCGATTTTCAAGTTCGACCACTCATTCTCTTCGTCTTGATGCGTAGAAATGCGGAATTCGGGCGCCGCCCAGGAAAACTCACTTTAACACACTCAAACAGGGGTAAAACTGGATACACATTGAAAATCATCATCTCCTTCACTTTAAACCATTATAACTCATGAACGGACGGTCCAATGGCCGTTTTTGAGGACATTTCAGAAAGATTAAAATCCAAGCTATCTAACAATATCCATAGATTTATTAACAAAAATTTCTTCCACCCTTAAAATTGCTAAAATATAAAAAAAAATCACATTTTTTTTGGAGTTCGCCAACTATTTTGGCGATTTTGAGGGTGAAATAAATTTTTCAAACGTTTTTTATGAACATGTATCTTTAGCTAAGATTCTGAAGTTTCTAAATGCATCATTAAAATCATCGTTTGATAATTTTTTCACGAGTTATAGAGGTCTAAAGTCGAAGTAAGGGTCAAAAAAGTATCTACTTTTAACTTTAGACCTCTATAACTCGTGAAAAAATTATCAAACGATGATTTTAATGATGCATTTAGAAACTTCAGAATCTTAGCTAAAGATACATGTCCATAAAAAACGTTTGAAAAATTTATTTCACCCTCAAAATCGCCAAAATAGTTGGCGAACTCCCAAAAAAATGTGATTTTTTTTTATATTTTAGCAATTTTAAGGGTGGAAGAAATTTTTGTTAATAAATCTATGGATATTGTTAGATAGCTTGGATTTTAATCTTTTTGAAATGTCCTCAAAAACAGTTATTGGGCCATCCGTTCATGAGTTATAATGGTTTAAAGTGAAGGGGATGATGAGTTTTAACGTGTATCCAGTTTTACCCCCTTTTGAGGGTGTTAAAGTGAGTTTTTCCGGGCGGTACCTGGATTCCGCATTTCTACGCATCAAGACGAAGAGAATGAGTGGTCGAACTTGAAAATCGGAGTACTTATATTTTTTGGCCAAAAAAAATGGAAAGGGGTACCACTTGCCATTTTTTTGGGTCGAAAAATTAAAGTTGTCCGATTTTGATGATCGACCACTCATTCTCTTCGTCTCGAAGCGTGGAAATGCGGAATCGGGTCAAACATATAAAAAATCCATTATTTCACTCCTAAAATGGGGTAAAACCGGAACTTGCTCTAATTTTTGCATGAATTTCGCGACAATTATGATTTCCACCATATTGGCTTTTTTCCTCTCGTCCAGATCTTTCATTTAAGTCCTCAATCAACCCCATGCCACCATTATCATAGAAGTTATGCACATGTTTATGTCTTACCGTTTTCGAAAAAAAAAAATTTCCTTCCCATAGTCCCACAAGCGCAAAATCGGAGAACCTTTGGGGAACGAAATCTTTTTATACGAGAAATCTCATTTTGAACAAATGATAAATAATCAAAATAGAATAACATCAAATACTTCAAGAACACTAGAATGACTTGGAGCGAATTTTTTTGGATTCGTTAGCAATGTCAGTTAGCTTGGCTTTGTTGAATACGACTCAAATAAATGAATCAAAATTAATATATCCCCAATTTATGATTTATTTGTATGAAGCATCAAGAATTAGGTCATCAGCCCGAAAGCAAAATAAAAACAATCCTCTTTAGACTGTATTTTTAACTCGAATCTGTTAATAAAGCAACAAAAATAAGATAGATGAACAATATCAAAGCTTTTTTTCTAGCCAAGCACACAACGCTCTGTACAATTATCCAACCACGAAATTGTTTCGAACGACGCATTCCACAAACTTTCCGCCACTTTCGTCTAACAGGGTATCTTGTCTCATTCGCCTGATTCACTTTTCAGCCCCTTCATTGCATCAACTTCCATATACACACATACACACGATCCCATCTCCACTCTATATGGTCATTTCGAGTCTCATTCAATTTTACCCCCATTACTTTATATCCGTTGGATCGTTTTATGTGGGTGTTGAAACACTTTAGTGCTTCAAAACCCTACCACATACTCATGCCAAGCCTGAAAACAATGCACAGGGATTTAGACAATTGGCGCGATCAAAACTATCACTCGATTCCAACGCTTTTGAGCTTTCAATCCCAGACAATTCCGCTTTTCCCTTGCTCGACACATTTTTTGAACAAA